GTATTCTGAGGTACTTTCTGTGAAGGATGCACAGGGATACTTGTTAGCTTGCTTACTTCTGGGTTTGTTTCCCTCTGGGCCCACTTCTCTCTGCTGCTGCCTCTGCCTTATGTTTCTGAACAAGGAGATCTTAAAATACTTAAGCTCTAAGCCAGCTGATCAAGGTATGTCATGATGCTAGCAGGCCTGGTGCTTTTCACACAATCTGGAAGGGCAAAGCAGTGTGTTAGGAGCAGCCTTCTGGTGGGTACACAGAAACACTTTGCTCTCCCTCCAAGTTTCTGCTCTGAAGCTGACATGAACTTAAGTGGATAAGCAATGGATATTTCTGAATTGTCCTCATCCCTGATTCTAGGAGGAGCTCAAGCTCCTGCCTTCAATGCCTGATTTGAACTGGCCCTCCTGCTAAGCTTGGTACACATGAAAGATTGCAGCCATATGCTTAATGTAAACAGGCACCAAAACACATGACAACACAAGCCATGTACTCACATCAAAGCTCTGGACTGTGAGGTTTCTCCGTATCTGTCTTAAGTTTCCACTTAGTTCCCAGACAGTAGTGCTCAGGCCTTTGCTGTAGCAACCCTGTGTGGAGAACGAATTCCTTCTTTGGAACTTTTCCTCAGGATGCTTCAGTGTGTACTGAGCTGTGACAGGGGCTGGGAAGGAATGGGACTGCTGCTTTCTGTGTCTGCTCCTCTGAGCAGATTAAGGGAACAATGGGGGCATGAGCTCAGGTTGTAGCACCCTGGGCATCATTTCAGCAGGGTAGATTCAGTGACGTGGAAATTGGTTGCCTTGTTTTACTAACTAGACACCTGTAATCAGGGCTGCACATCAAGAAGCTTTTTTTCCATACTGGGAGAATTGTGTGCGTGTTCCTTTCAAAAAGCTGCTTATGAATTCTAATAGAACAAAATGCAATGAAGTAGCGTGAGTTTTTGAAAGTGGAAGTTGTTGGAGGAAAGTTTCCCTCCATGAAGACTAAGCTGACCACTACAGATTCTTGTGGTTTTGCAGCTGGAGGAATTGGAAGAAAAGCATATCTGGCTAGAGCTAAAACTTCTTCCCAGAAAGAGAACTTTTTCCTTCTGGTAGCATCTTCTGAAACTGCAGCTCTAAAACAGCTTGAAGAACACATGCAAAGGTAGGTAGGAAAGCCAGACAGCGGAGCAAGGCTTTGCTTCCTAGGACTGTGTGGAGAAAGAGGTTGATTCATTACAACACAGGAAGTTAATATGGGATTTTGAAAAAAGCTTTTGTTTTAGGTTGCATTCTTTCAGAATTTGTGCTCTTGTGAATGTCCACAACAAGCCCTGTATTTCTCTTCCAGGCTCAAGCTTGGAAGTGACAGATTGGAAGCCACAGTTCAGCAAAAAAACCAAAATGAATGAAGCCACTCAGAGCAACCTGCAAGCCTTTGTCTCAGTAAGCTAGTTAAAAACCTATGTGAGTTTTGCAAGCTCCTTACTTAAGAGCCTTGTTAAGTAATTCTGTGGGGAAAATGCAGGATGACATTTCCCTGGAGAGCCTACGAGAGCTGAGTTCCCAAGCTAGGCTGACCATAGGCTGCTCTGAAAATCCTGCCAGTCATTTCCCCACCTTTGTGTTTTTGAGAATTTTCCCATGATGCTATGGCAAGCTGTACATAACACTAGAGAAGATAAGGGTTTACACTAACATGCTGGTGTAAAAATTTTCGGGTTTAGGTCAGTAGTGGTATTGAAGACCTCAGGCTGCACTGTTGACATTCCTCCTGCATTAGAGGTATTTGTCAAGTTTGTAGAACTCTGTACAGCACTGACTTGAAGCGCCTCATTGTCCTTGACACAGTGGCTAGAATTGTTATAAAGCAGTGCTTCCATCTGAGCCTATGTGAAGCAAATGATTGTTGGTTTAGGTCTAGGAAGGTAGGGAAGTGACTGCAAGCGCTGTGCTGTACTGATAATGGCAAGAGCAGCAGGGATGTGTGAACTTCAGGAACAAAAACTGCACTTATAAAACAACAAAACTTAATTTTTAATGTTTGTTATTAAAACATATAAAAAAGAGAGCAACAAAATCACAAAACCAGTGGGATACGTGACCTTGTTTCTGTGAAATAACTGCATCTGGCTGGTTCGATGGCAGTGGTTGCTATTCTTAGTGAGCACTCAAGGTGTTCATCAGAGTTTTGATGAAATTTTACTTTTCCTGTGCTTCAGCTTTGAAAACAGTTGTTCACAAACATATGTACTGCAAAAGCGGTGACACAAGTAAGGCAGAAGACACTTCTCTCTGGTAAAATGAGGCTTATAAAAGGCTGGTAGAGAGACACGATCAAATTTCTAGTTGCAACTCTATACATTCCATTTAAAAATTTGCAAGTAATTTATTTATGTCAACTGAAAATGGAGTCATAAAGAAAGCAAAAAATTGATTTTTTTTTTCAATCTTTAAACCTATTATTAATTTTCATTGTCAAAATGGCACAGCTGCATCTTTTTCACTGTTCACATGGCTGTGTCTAGCCAATGTATCAAAATACATTTTGATATATTATTTTCCATTACTTCATTATTCATCATTACCAACGTTATTTACCATCACCTGAGTTATTGCTGCACTGTGCCCCATGGCCTCCTTTCAGCCCAGGTGGGGCAAACATCCCACCAATGCTCAGTTGGTGCTGAGGGGCTGTGCTGGGCTGCAGGTGGGGCATACCTGATCTATGCCTTTGGGAATTGAAATAAATTGTCAGTGTATTACACTAGGTTTTTTTTTTAAGCAGACATTCATCACTTTGTCATAGTTTGTAATTTGTAAATATTTGAAAGTTTTATTTAATTTTGTTATCAACTAGAATGTATCTAAACCAAAAAAAAAAAAAGTCCAATTACAATATACCTAGATCTACAACAGCACATAAGTCTATTTGAAACTGCAGCATGACCTGATCAATCTATGTGGTTCTGAATACACGAGGGTACTGCGTTACACAACAACTCTTTCACTGCTTTGAAAATAACATCTCTTGCTTCTCACTTAGAGGAAGCCTAAAGAAATCCTTTCTGCATTCTCAAAAGAGAACTAGTTGCTAATCCAGCTGAGGATTAACAAACTGTTTGCATGAGATAGCGTGAATGTTTCAGACCAGACTGAGAACAAGCAAAACTGTATTTAAGCATACACTTTAGCTAGTAGAATACCAAAAGCACCACCGCAGCTCCAGCTCTCCACCTAGACAGAGCTGGAGCTGCTATAGTCTCTAACTGCAAGATGCATGCAACTATCCAGTTCTCTTCAAAGCCCTGGAGCAAGCAATGCAGAAACATGCTATCTGCCCAGCCAGATTTCCTGGCTTGTAAACTCAACAGTTGGAAAGCAGGTGTTGTAAATCACCTGTGGATAGTGATAGGACAAAGGAAAATGGTTTTAAACTGAGACAGGAGTTTTAGGTTAGATAGTAAGAGGAATTTTTTTCACTCAGAGGATGGAGATACACTGGAACAGGTTGTCTATGAGGTTGTGGATGCCCCATCCCTGGAGACTTCCAAGGCCAGGCTGGATGTGGCTCTGGGCAGCCTGGTCGAGTGGTTGGTGACCCTGCACACAGCAGGGGGTTTGAAACTAGATGATCATTGTAGTCCCTTTCAGCCCAGGCCATTCTATGATTCTATGACCAGACAATGAGCAGCACACTGTTAGCAGTCCAACAAGACTTTACAGCTATTGTTACTCCTTGGTAAACACACAGTGATTTAATAGGGGGAAAATAAAGAGTGGGAAAAAGAGAGTTTTAGACTGCCATTTTGTACCTCAGAGCTGCAAGGACTGTGAGCTAAATTATCCAGCTGTATTAAGTTATGTCAAAGGAAAGGTGAGTCTTTAGCAGACTAACCCAAATGCCAATGCTTATGCAACACTTAAGCCACACGTAAGCCCTTACTTGAAAATCTTTCTGTGCTACATGGATCTTGTACTGGGTAACAGAACAGGAAAGAATCACCTCATGCAGACAGGAATTGAAATAGCAATTATTTGATGATACTCAGAGAAAGCTCCAGATTACCTAAGGAGAACACACTGAGAGGATGAGGAACCACAACAGGAAATGCAAACTTCTGAAAAATAAAAAGGAATTATTTGTTTTTAACAGGAATTAATTTAAAATATTCTTTAAAAGGGGTATATTCAAAATCGTCCATATCAAAGATTAAATAAAGAATGAACAAAGAAGGGAAAAAAGATGGAAAAAATTGAAGACAGAAAGCTAACAACTGGTATAGTAACAGGTTCTAGTAATTAATTCTGCAATCTTTTCAGCAAACAAAAAAATGAATAGTTTCTATTGTACCCTTAAGTTTATATCCACAAGCCCTGTAAGTAAATCTCAGCACAGCTTGCCAAAAAGGTTAAAAAGAGCCGATGATAACTACTTGCTCCTGGAAAGAGCAGTAAGGTGGCATTCTGTGTTGTCACCTTTTAAATAAAATTCTGCAATTCTAACGCATCTGGAAGAAAGTAAGTACACCCAGCTAAAAACACATCTTGTTCATCATTTCTCCATTAAATGATTAAGGAGATGCTCTCAAAATAGCTCTCTCTCAAAATCACAGAAGTTAGGTTTTGCAAACTGGATTTGTTTGGCAGTGGTTTCAACAAAAAGTTTTTTTCTTAAGTATTTTTTTAGCTCTTTAGAAGAAAGATCAAGCCATCTCTTCATTTTTCAGAACTGAGATGCAAGCAGCAGTTCCTAAACGTAGGAAAAACTCGTGCTTTGACATCTCTATTAAATAAAACCCACAGGGAAGCCAAGAATTAACCCTGCAGACACACGGACCGTTATCCCTGCTGTTACTTCAGCAGCGCCAGGCAACAGCACCGCGACGCAACGTTGCTAGGCGCGTCCCGACGCGACAGAGTCTGCGCATGCGCACACTCTCCTGCGCTCGGCAGCGGACACCCTCCTAGCATCGCTGTGGCTCCGCCTCCCGCTGCGCATGCGCGGGGCTCCTGGCTCTGGCAAGGGGTCTGGAGTTGCTTTCCCGTCTGTGAGTTGCCTTGCATGCAGTGCGCGGGGCTCTCCTGAGACGACATGAAGAAGATATTTAGCTTCAGGAAGAAGAAGAAGGAAAATCCGCCGCCGCCCGGCGGCGCCGCCTCGCCGTGCCCCGCCGGTGCATACGAACTCCGCCATAAGGAGCTGGGCAAGCTGCACCGTGCGGCCGCTACCGGAGACCTGGCCCAGGTGCGGCAGAGGCTGAAGAAGCACGGCGTCGACGAGCGCGACAAGGAGCAGCGGTAAGGGCTGCGGGCCTGGCCGGGGATCCCCGCTGCCTCACCGGGGCACGTAGATCTGCCGTTAGCGGGGACCGCGCTTGGCTGGCACGGACAGCAACGGCCGCTGCAATGTGCCCTGCCGGCCTGTTTCCCTTGGGGATTCTTCGTGGGGCTGGCGGGACTTCTTCCTAGCTGAGAGCTCTCTTGGGGGGCTGGTGGGCCGGGGCAGCGACAAGGCTGTGGGTTTCCTGAAGGCTTTCCTGCTTGCGAAGCTGATGGTGGTTCCTTCAGGTTGTCGTATTTCCCGGTGCTCGGTATGAACAGTTTTGGGATGGTGAGGGACTCCTGCATAGTTGTGTTGGTTGTGGTTGTGTTACCCATCCGAACTCTTTGCAGTACACTGCTAACACTACATGCTGCTCAGCTCTCAGATAATCATCAACAGGCTTCTCTGCAGAAATGATCTTGCACATTCACTTGGGAATTTCTCAGTGGGGACAGTCACCCTCGAATGACTGCTCTGTTGCTGCTGTAACTTGTTCCATATCTGTGGCAAGGCATGATGAGTTCCTTGAAGTTCTGCCTGTTTTTTCATCTTGTCTTGCTCCAGTTTATAGAAGGGAGAGGAGGTTCTTTGCTACGTGCATGCCTGGTGTGAGATTAAGAAACTGTGGTTCAAATATTGGTCCAACCAGTTTATTACAAACCTTAATCAGGGAGATGGTGAGGGGGAGGACGGACACTGTAATGAATTAGGGTAATGGGGAAGGGAAGAAGGGCAATAGAAAATATAGGAAAGAAGCAAGAGTCTTTATAGAAAGTAAGAGGGAGATAGTCACCGCCATGGATCCACTGTGGTTCGTAGTTCAGTCACTGATCTTCAGTAGTAGTGGGTTGTTGGGCATTGTTGTTCTGTTGACGATGACTTTTCAGTGGCAGTACCAACTTATAAATAAGTCCAAAGTGGTACAAATCCAAAGTGGTTGAGCCATCTGTCCTTGGAATGGCAGCTTCTGGCTCTGGGATTTCAACAGAAATCCTTTGTTCCCATCTTCCAGGCCTTGCCAGAAGACAAGAGGGAGCAGGGATGCTCACCTGCGTCCTGTTTTTCACAGGATACGATGGCATCATTCCCCACTTTTCCTATAAAAGCTGGAGCTATTTAGTCACAGGCCAGATCTTCCACCAGTAAACACTCCTGTGCACTCCCTTGTGGAAGCAAGCAGCTCTGGAGGAATGTGTTGTAGTGTACACAAAGTGATGTCACACAGTAGCACCCATTACTTGCCTCCTCAATAAATCAGTTAGAGTCTTATCACAAGAAGTACCTCAGGAAGAAAGCTTTGAGCCAAAAAAAAAAAACAAAAAAACAAAGGATTCTCACACATCCTCATCTTCTCTGCCTTGAAGGAAGCTGGTCTTTTGGAGGAGGCTCCTTGGCCCACCAGTGGTGGGATCTGTTAAGACAAGAGGGAGTAACCTCAGGTTGCACCAGGGGAAGTTCAGGTTGGATATTAGGATAAATTTTTTCCAGAACAGTGGCTGTGCATTGGAACAGGCTGCCCAGGGTGGTGGTGGAGTCGCCATCCCTGGAGGTGTTCAGGAAACATGTAGATGTGGTACTAAGGGACATGGATTAGTACGCAACATTGGTCATGGGTGGACAGTTGGACTGGATATCTTGGAGGTCTTTTCCAACCATAATGATTCTTCGAGAAATGGCTGTGTTTCTGAATCACGTCACTGCATTTGCACCGCTCTCCGTTTCCATTCCCATGAGCTGTTGTGCTCCAGTCTGTCAACGAGGTACCTCAACAGGTGTTTTGTTGTAAGGTTACTTGAAGTTTCCAAAATGCAGGGAAGGGATCTGTCCATGGTGATGCACTTTAAAAAAGAAAACATAACAAAAAAACTCCCTATAGATGCCTGAGGAATTGCAGGATTTTGTTGTGTGACCTTTGAGGGAGAAAGATCCTGATGCTTTCTAGCTCAACCCCTGCTTTGTTGGAGCAGGTGTCCCGCAGAGCAGCAGGAACTGTGCCTTCTGCACACAGCCAAGCCTGTGCTGCTCTGTCCTGTGATTAGGAGAGAAATGCCTGCAGGTACTGTTTGGGTGACTGTGGCTTTGGATACAAGCATACTGGTTAATTGGCATCAGACCCTTAGCAGTTCCATAGTTTGAAAAAGCTCCTTTCTTTCTGTCTTTTGTAGTGGAAACACAGCTATTCCTCCCTGACGAGGACTTCCTCTGTGATATCCTATTTATATCATAGTTAGAAGCATGAGGAATGTCACATATTACTTTCTCTTGTACCTGGGACAGCAGTGTTCTGCTGTCTGCTCTGCCAGATGTTGCCAGATGTTTGGTGCAAAAGTGCTCTACTAGTTGCAGTAATAACCAAACTAGTGCGTGATTTTTTTTTTTCTAAAGAACTCATGTCTTGCATCTGTGGTACAATTGTAGTGTGTGAATGATCCTGGGAGAACCTAGAGGTTTACATGCATGCCACCATAGACCTCAGATTCCCAAGCTTTAGTCTCTCTCATTGTACCATGAGCACATTTCTGTCAGAGGCTGCAAGCAGTGCCTTGACACAGAAATCTTTGTGAAAGTTCAGTTTTACTGTGGAGGAAATGTTGTCTCATTAAGCAAATGCAGTGGACGGTTATTCCTCTCTAGCCTCAGGGTTTGGGTATACAGCTGTTGTTACTGGTAATGGATTAAGCTTGTTTGTTTGTTCGTTTTATTATGTTTATTTTGGGAGGTAATTGGGATGGAGAAATGAAATTTGGCGTATCCATGTACCACAGAGTGAAATGATTTATTTAGCTGTCAGTTTCAATTTACACGTTTAATTTTTAGGACACCACTGCATCTTGCTTGTGCAAATGGACATGCGGATGTCGTTACGTTTCTAGTAGAAAACAAGTGTAAGCTAGATCTTTTTGACAGTGATAACAGATCACCACTGATGAAGGTAAGTAGAACATGTTATGCTGCTGCAAGTAGGAATTATTGACTATGTACTAAATGATGGATGCCTTTCTAGATTCTTTACAAAAGTCTGTGTAGAAACATGCAAGCTATAATTGATGTGGGCTAGGTGTATGCTAGCTTATCTCGGAAGATGCTTTTATATTCCAGGAGTGGGAAGTTGTAGTAGCTGTGACACAGTGAAGTATGACTGCTGGAAATTTTACCTTTTTTTGTGTGTGTTGTTTCCAGGCAGTGCAATGCCAGCAAGAAAAATGTGCAGTAATCCTGCTAGAGCACGGTGCTGATCCAAACCTGGCAGATGCTAGCGGCAACACTGCCCTTCACCTGGCTGCTGTAGCTCCTAACACATTTCTAGCAGGGATGTTAATTGAGCACAGTGCCCGTATTGATGCTCAGAATAAGGTACATTTTGAGATGTGTTGTGGGAAAAAAATGTTCTTTCAAAAAGGTGCATTGATATTTTTATTGAAGATTTTTTGTTTGTTTCGTTTTATTTTTAACTTGAATTATTTCTGTCCTTTCAGGATGGATGTACTCCCCTTACTCTCGCTATCTCTGAACATCGTGATGAGATGGTAGAGCTCCTCCTTAAAAAAGGAGCTGATGTTCGTGCTCGAGATCTGTGTGAGAGGTGAGGAGATGGTCTAAACTCTGCAGGTTATCTTACTTGTCTTCAGTTTAGACTGATGAGAGGGATGGGAATGCGCATTGCAGTAGAAAGACACGGAGAAGAGTTTTTGCAGGTCTCAGCTTAGCTTGTGTAATTCATTATTGCATGTTGTCTGCATTGAGAACTGCAAGAAAACATTGTTTATTGTAGCCACTGTGTCAGGGAAGTTCCCACTGTGCCAGCAACCTTACTGCTATGCCATAGAGAGTTTTTCAAATTGACGTGTAGTTTGTATGCAAGTGTTGTTAATGTATAAGCTGCTGCTTCTGTTCATAAAGTGATTTTATTTTCCTTTGAGTGAGCAAATGGGAATTAAAATAATTACGATGTCTGACTAAAATTGTATATTTTGTCTTCTATTTTGGATGCTGCAGAACCCCACTTATGACTGCTGCGTCCGGTGGGGAGCTTAAGTTGGTAAAAATCCTTCTTCACTATGGTGCTGATCTTTCCCATAAAGACACTAATGGATGGACAGCTGAGGATTATGCTATTATTCATGGATATGCTAGGTAAACTTTTAAGTTTATTGCCAGGTTTTCAGTTATCAGTGTTCAGTTTTGACCTTTTTGATAACAGCACTAAGATTTAATGGTATGTTGAGACCTATCTTGAAGATGTGTTCATTGGCATCTTCTCATGTACACAGTCTGTGTGTCTGGTGTCAATTTGAAAGTTGATGAAAGCTTCTGCTCAAAATTCTCCGTAAGATTTTAAGTGTTTGTTGCTAAGCTCATGTCTGCCTAGTATACCTAGCATATGCTATTAAAATGTAGCCCACAGACACAGAGGTTCAACTTGAAAAACTGAAATGTTTGTAAACTCTCTCAAAACAGAACCATTGTTATTACTGTCTTCAATTTCACTGACCAGGAGCCACCTACGTTTTGTTTCAGAGGAGATCTAGCTGTTATCTCTTTTATTAAATTACTAAGCAGTTTTACTAGTGCAACGTATAAGCATTTTACCTGTGGGTGTTCATTCATAAGAGTGCTTGTATTTGTAAAAACTGGACTGCAAGAGGGTGCCAGGCAGTACCCTTAACTTAATAACTTCATAGATCTGGAGGTACATCTGAAGAATAGATGTGTGTGGAGTATTTGAGTATGTTACAGTCATGCAATAAATAGAGTATGTTACCCTTAGTGAATATACAAATTGTTTTGGCTATGGGTATGTCTAGGATGGATAAGATGAGGCTCTTCTTATTCCATTAAGTGTTGTATACAGCTAAGGGATTATTTTCCCAAATGCGTTTCTTCTTTTTCTATCTACAGTCTTAGTAAACAACTGGCAGAATATGCAGACTGGGAGAACACAGGGAAAGCTTCTGCAGGTGCTTCCCGAGGCACCCGAGTGCCGATGACTCCTCACAAGGCAGGAGCTGCTGGCTTTACATTGGGTGCACCTGCTGTGAACAGAGAAGGTAGGATACCTAACTGTGGTAGAGCTAATGGGAAAAATTATGCTGGCCTCTTCCTTAAGTTGGTTTGTATCTTTTAAGTTTACTGTGCTCAGTATGGACTTCAGTGGAAGCACCAGGTGGACTGTCACAAGAAGTGCTATGAATGTGCTTGCTTGCTGCTACTTTGCAGTGCATCTCAACAGGCTTTGAGGACAGTTGTGACTTGTGTGCATTACATCCATCTGCTCATACACTTGTCACCTTCAGCCCACCAAGTTGCCCCTTTATTTAAGTTTTCCTTTTAGCAAGGGGGAGGGGAGAAGACAAGGAACAAACTAGGTTAGAACAAACTGGCCTTGTTTTTTGGGTGTGCAATTTTACTTAGAGATGCTCATTCAGATTGTTATTCAGAAGAATCCAATTATAAAAGCTGTAGTTTCATCCCAAATAGTTTTGTCTTCTATAGCAGTGAAGCAGCAGATTAATTGCAAGAAGATGCATGTTTTGTTGATTACTGGATTTCTGTCATTTTGTTTAGTTTCATCTGTACTAACCTCCTTTTAGAGTCATATAATTTCTCACTTTCAGTTACAATTGCTTTTGTTTATGCTGTGGGACATTAACAAAAATTATCCTGGAAAGGTAACTTCATTAGCATTAATAGTGTAGTGTTTATGCATAGTGTATCTTCTTGAACATGGTTAGATTTCTAAAAAAAAATTTCTTCAACTTCAGTTAGTTTTATTTAAGAAAAAGAAAAGGACTTTGTGATCCGGAAAGCTGTTACATTTTCTCACTGCCTTGTAATTAAAAGAAAGAATGAATTTGGAAAATCCAGGCAGTGATTATAAGCTAACATTGCCCTAAGGGAATCTTAGAAAATTGCTACTTAATATGAATGAAATTGTTTGCCTTGCAATTTACATTTCAGGCTCTAACGTAGGAGGATTTGTTCATTCCTTATTTTTAAGGAATTTTGTTATGTCAGAATCACGTATCAGATGGGCAGCAGACTGTTCAAACACAATTCATTCCTTCTTTATTATAAAGCATTGAAAAATATGAACAAAGAATACATGGCATATTTTTTTCTTCCCGGACTTATCAGAGATGGAAGAATAGATTTTAGATACTTAGATATTGCCTTTGACTTAAGAGCAGTTGCTTTGAACTACACAGCGGTTGGAAAAGTTTCTTCGTAGATTTTGGGGAAACACTGAAGGAACTGTACACTGGTATGTGCTGCAGTGGCTAAAAATACTGTAACTGTAGACGTACTAGAAGGTTTTGAAGTTCTGTTTTCTTGTTTTTCAGTGGGGCTTGATACAGTTGGTTTAATCATTGAAATACTGTTTTCACCCAAATTGCACTCAGTTGCTACCTTCTGTGCATGTAGACAGTTGCTCTGGTACCCCATTGTAAGGACTAGCAGGCCTGGGTTATTTTAAAATACATGACTTGAAGGATCCTTCTTCTGAGAATAGGGTAGATTTAGACTAGAAATTTTTTACTGTGAGGGTGGTGAGATACTGGCACAGGTTGCCCAGAAAGGTTGTGAATGCTCCCTCCCTGGAAGCATTCAAGGCCAGTCTGGATGGCGCTTTGAGCAACCTGGTCTAGAGGGAGGTGACCCTGCTTATAGCAGGGGTTGGAACTAGGTGATCTTAAAGATCCTTTCCAACCTAAACCATTCTATGATTCCCCTTGTGCTCATTCTCTTAAAGATGACACCAGCAGAGGAGTGGGAGGGCACAGAGAGAAAGTTTAGTAGTGTAGTAGAAACAGTATTGCAATTAACTCTGCAGTCTCTGGCTTGCATTCACACCCTGCATCACGAGAGTCATTTTAATACACCACAGTAACAGTCTTCAAAGTGGCCTTTAGAGGGGAAGCCAGGATGCTGAGACAGAGACCAGAGAAATACCCACTTTGGAATTCTTTTCCCTTTCCCTTTTTCTTCTCTTTAGCTTTTCTCTGTTATTTTTCTGCAATTTAAAATTTTGACCTTATTCTTTCTGCTACTTCTGTACTTTGTAATTAGAAGAGAAGATTGTGAAGAATTTTGAACAGGTCAGCATTTTTTAACAAGTTTGCTCATGATTATTTGGATGTCAGAACATGAACCTTTGTATTAATCACAAACTGGCTTCCAGAACATACTGAATGACCAACCTCTTAGATTTTAAGTAGGAATTTATTTTTGAGAAAAATAATAGCTGTGCAATTCTTATTTCTAGTATGTCTACAGTGACAGTATTTTTAATCACTGCAGCACACAGTAGAGCATTGTTCCTTCAGTGTTTCCCCAAGTCACTAGAGAAATTGTCTCAGCATTATAAAGCTCTTACAGAAGTGAATCAGCACTCCTGTGTGATTTATATATCCTGAGGTCAGATGAAACTTTTCCTATATTCCCTCTTTAGGAAATGGAGAAAAGCCAGAAGGAATGAGAAACTGTTTAACTGTTTCTTAAGCTTATGTTTCTGGCAGTAGCCGTTTTTCCACATCATTGTGTGTATATGTGATAAAATCAATAGAATTAGGACAACCTTCTGCTCCAGGGAAATGTAACAGCTTTGTTGTGAAAGAATTTGATGTAGGGATAGTGTTCCACAGCTTCTCATTTGAAACACAGATGTATATTTGCACGCAAATGCATGTCATAGTCACAGTGTATTCTCCCAGTGCTGTAGCTTTGTCTGTATGCTTTTTGTTTTTTCCAAACTTCTGAGACTCTGCATGTATTCTGATCTCATTCTTTCATCTGTCCTTTCCATGCCTTTCCCTTAATGGATGTAGGAATGCAGCAGTCTTCTAAACAGACACCAAGAACAGGAGAATTGAGGAAAGGTATTCTGCACAGTAGTATTTTAAATACCAAACATGTCTTGTGATGCACAAATACTTACTTACAATTACTTATATTTGAACAGCAATAGATGACTTTTCCCATGGAGACTCAATAAGGTGAGGCTTTTAAAAATACCAAACACTTACTTGAGGAATTATTTGAGAGAACCAGTATTTATTTTGCTTTGTTTTTGAAGTTCTGAAAAAGAGGGCAGTAATGACACTTGGCATACTTCTGAGGAAGAAGAACTGGATTTTACACCCAAGGTACGGTGCCTTTATAAGAGAATGGTTGTGTAAAATAAGTGATTTGAAGGTAATTTTCTCTGATAGAAAGAAGCTGCTTTTCCAGCCAATTCATTCTTTATTGTCCTAAAAGGAGTCATTTGCCAACATTTCTTCTGCTATGAGTTTTTCCTAAAAACTTGCAGCTTTGGCAGAACATGCAGTAGATATTAAGATGAACTACCACGTTGTATTAGTTGTTCATTCAGTTGAGATTTGCAAATCCTTGGAGTTGATGAGTTAGTAAATAACCTATTCTGTTTTCTTTCTAACTTTGCTATTGTTTCCCCTAATTTATGTGATAGAATTCTAACTGATAATGAGAAAGAACATTTATTTATCAAAATCTAGTGAAATTGTTCGTTGCCTGGTTTGCTTTCCTTCCTCACTAGGTTGCTTGAGTTATTCAAATAAGTATTTTTTCTTTTTTCCTTCTTCTGTGAGATGGCATTCCATGCTTGTATATAATCTCACACTGCATGATTTTCTTCGTTTTTTGAATAGTTGGATTTTACTCTTTATAAGTTCCATGTGCTTATCCTACTGTTTTTATGAATGTTCTGAAGGATTGCCAATTTTTTTAGTGATGTCTGGAGTATTTAGTATGTTGCACTGGGATTCTGCAGTGGTTAGGAATTTTAGTTTGGTAGCTCAGCATGCTCTGTAATGTTGGAGACGCAAAGATGTGTACTTTAAACATTGTTCCATTTTCTTGCACTGATTTAAGGGGAATTAATGCATATTTCTAGCCTTATTTTGATGTTTGCAGATCTTACACTAGGTGGAGTTGTATTAACTAATTTAGGAACTTTAATAGATATTTGAGTTGTGGACATTTACAAGTAGGCAGCCAGACTCTACAATCCCAAGTGTAGTTGTATTTTACCTATGGATTAAAAAACTTTTTTTTTTTATAATTGTTATGCATCTACAGATAGTTGTGAATAGTCACTGACTTGTACGCAAGAGGAATGTTTGTGTAATTAAAATTGAAGGATCTAGCAAGCACCTAAGTCCTCTCAAAAGGGGACAGCCTGGTTGTATTTACTGTTCAAGATTTGATGTAAGTAAGGGATGTGTTTAAAAACAAACAAACAAAAATAGATCAAATAATTCTTTTTAAATGTACTTTTATTTACAGAAGCCACAGAAGCCAAACTTGACAATGTTATTGAATGTTTCCCAGAAGTTCAGCAATGTAGGTAAGTTATTTGGAAAAGACTTCATGATACAGTGGCATACAAAAGTAAGCTTGCTAAGTAATCTCATCTGGGTTTTGTTTGTTTGTGTTTGTTTTTCACTTGGCTACAGTAATTGAGGAAAATAGTGTTACAAGAACAGAGCACGTGGTCATTTCAGTGTAAAATAAGTCAGATGATAAAAATGAAGATACTGAGTCCCCTCCTAAGCCTTTGTGTCTTATCTGTCCTTCCCCTATTCTGCCATTACCTGGCTTTTCCATACAGTCCCAGATGACTCCTCTCCTTTGTTTTAAATGGATAAAATGCCTGTTGCTATTTATATAACCCATTTGATTCATATTCCTTTTTCCTTTTCTCATGCTTTAAGGTGGTGGTGATGGTTCTAGAATTAAAAGTCCTAAGTCACAGAAGAAAAGCCTTACACAAAAAAAACCAACAGATGCAAACCTGAACAGAGGAAAATGTGGAAAGTTGTTGAATGAAGATGTCTCAGATTCAAGCAGCCTTGAGGAAGATGAATTGGAAGAAGAGGAGGAAGAGGAGGAAGATGAAAATGATGATGGAGATGACGATGAGGAGTGTGAAGAAGAAGAAGAAGAAGATCTTACTCAAGATGAAAAGGAGGAAGGAGATCTGGAAGATGAAGAAACTCAATCTAATGACGTAATGGAAGAGGAGCAGATAGGTAAAATAGAACCTAAAGAAGAAATTAATCAAAAATTGGGGTATCTTAGTAGTGTTAAGAATGAAGGGGATGCACAGTGTGAAGCTGGAAGTGTCTCCACTGATTATCAGGAAATATGTAAAAAAATCGATGAAAAGATGGAGGGATCTGTTGACAGTCCTGTGTCTTTTATAGATGTGCAAGAGAATATAACAGCCATGTCTCCAAAGCGAATGAATAATGAAGTATCTTACGAGTCAGCACCAAAACAACCTATTATTCAAAATGTAAATAATTTGCAAGATAAACAAGAAAGCTGCAAGAAGAAAAGCATAATGCAGAAGATATTTCACAGAAATACAGCCTCCTCTTCAGCAGACTCTGAAATGACAGTCTTGAAAAAAGGCATACCTCAGCCCCTCTCAAAAATTGGTGGTGATCTTCAGGAGAAGTTAAGTTTCAGCGATGTCCTCAAAAGTATTAGTAGTTCTTCATCAACAAGGGGAATTATAAAGCTTGAAAATCAAATACTAAGCTCTGTCACGGATGATGAAGATACTGAAGAAGAGCAGTATAAACAAGTAGATATTAAATTGCATAAAGCACAGAAACAAGAAAGTGAAAACCTGCGTCTAGGTCGATGTACGGAAAATCTAAGTACAGCATTTTCCTCAAGCACAGAAGTAAGTGTGGAGGGATGATTCAATTGCAAGGGTTTATGAAGGGTAATAAGAGTAAGTAACAGTAAACTGTATTCCTGTTAATGCTTACCATGTATCTACATTTCTATCATCATATTTTGATACTAAAGATATCTTAATTGTAGCCAAAGTCATTTCTGAAATTTAAGAGTAGTATCAGACATTATTTTCAATATTTTCAGTGGGTGATTGCTGAGTTTTTGAAGGAGAAAGACATGAAACTTCATTCTGTCTGGAATCTGTGGACTTTCTATTACATAAAACTGAGAGAATGGATAATTTCTGTTAAAAGTTGCTGCCATTTAGTAGAATTCATGGGGGTAATGACTGCAACTTAGGAAAGGAAAGGAAGTTTTGAATGCAATTGAGGGCAGGAAGCTAGTGAAACTGTGAGCTAAGTAGGCAGAAAGAAGGAATGACTTCTGAATAACACAGATGAAAGTGGAATTAGACTGCCACAAGGAAGTGCTTCTCAGGGGCTTTGCATAACCAGGGATGAAGTTTAGAACGTGAGGCATTGCTGTTGCATCATGTGGATTCCCAGTGAAAACTTGAAGGCCTTTAGAAACCTTGTTGGG